ACAGCTTTTTCACTCTTAACAAATCCCGTACATTTGGTTTTGTGGTAAAGGAAACGCACGGACAGTGCGCAAAAAGGCAAGGTTTGAAATTGCTTTTAATCCTATTATTCTAAAAGGATTCCTTATTGGAAAATGTTTTCCCCCTTCTACTAAAGCAGCGCAGAGGACTGCACGTTGTGTGTAAAAGTGCGTAAAGGTGTACTTTTACCATCTTTCCGTCTTAGATGTTTTTCTGTTTTTCAAAGAGCTGTCGATGTCACCGGGTGCTTCTGTCCACGTTGTCCCTCTGAGTGAGAAGTTTACAAAAGGGAAAACGATAATCTCGTGTTTTTACTTCGAAGAGCAGCCCTCTCCCGGGTCTCAGTGAATAAAAAAAAAGACCCAAAATATAGTAATTCTACTTTTTCAGCATCCAAAGAGGATTCTTAAACATCTGGGGACGAAAATGCGTACAACACCATGGATTAAATGTGTTACTTTAGGTCACATTTAATTCCACAATAAACAAAACAAGCCTTATTCCCAGATGTTATTACAATTTAATACAAACTTCCTAAAGAGGTGACTGGATTTTCCCTAAATCCCTGCCTACTGCGGTCATGTGAAAGTTGACTCCCCTCCAGGCAGAGGAGCCCATGCGAGGCCGTGCAGCTACTGCCTCCTTTCACCACTCACGCACGCAACGCACGCCACAGACACACGCTGTGCGAAACAGAGTGGACGACAGGTGCTTAAAAACACACATTATAAAGTTACAGCCTAAGTGCAGCCGGTAGCTGCTTTCGTGCACCGGCTTTGCCTCTTTTTTCATCCTATTGGTGTTTAAAAGTGCAGCACGGAGGGTCTCCGAGGTCCTGGAAGCTACAGTTCCGGGGCTAGCGGGTAGATGGCACAATTTTCTTACATTTCTGAGCAGCATGGATGAGAGCGAGAGTGAGCGAGTGAGAGAGAGCCAGAGAGAGCCAGAGAGAGATAGAGAGAGAGAGAGAGAGAGAGAGAGAGAGAGAGAGAGAGAGAGAGAGGAGAGAGAGAGAGAGGAGAGAGAGAGAGAGCGAGAGAGAGAGAGAGAGAGGAGAGAGAGAGAGAGAGGAGGGGGGGGGGGGGGCTCATAAGCAAAGGTAGTTTATTTTCAATGGCAGGAGATGGAATGGAGGACGGATCACAAAGAAAGGATATATTTAAAAACGAGGGATCATTAAAGAAATAAAGAATAAAACGCACACGATCGGATCAGTGATTTATCATCACTTTGAGGCGCGTTCGCAGGCATTACTTGCATTTCTACTACTAATAATAAAAATAATAGCCCAATAATTTTCGTGCCTGCGCGTTGACATAAGGAGCAGGTGTCCCGAGTTGCAAGGCGGTTGACTAATGGGATTTATTGTAAATGAGCTGTGGTGCCTCAGACTATGCATTATATGCAATAAAGCGCTTGTTGTAGGAGCTAATTTGTCAGAGTGATAGTGCCAAGGTGAAAATAATGCCTATATTCTGTCGCTTAACTGTGCGGGTGTGCACGAGTCCATGCATGTGCCAGGAAAAAAGGCTGCAAACCATCTCCTTATCTTATTAAACAAATAGCCTCCTTATTAGCCCGTGAGCTCCTAAATAAGTTCTCAGCTTTGGTGCGTAAACCATTGGCAGCATCCCCCCCACTTCCCGCTCGCATATGGAGTCTTTCGCTTTTGGAATTATTACTATTGTCTTGGTTTTCTCTCTTTCTACGGGGCACACACACACACACACCAGCTCGTGTGTCACAAGTTCTCACGTCACGCAGACGTAAATAAAAGTGACGTGGGCAGCGAGTAACACCTCGTTAGGTTTGCGCGCGGTCCTAATAAGTGAGCAGAAGTACAAATGATGGAGTTTGGTGCGTAAATCACGCTCCGTCAACTGGAATCAGCCAGTACGGCGTCAGCTTGCGACAGGATGTGAGTCGTGAACGAATGCGTTTTCTGTTTGCTTTTATTATAACTGGCCCAGTTATTTAGCTCGAGTGTTTGGGAAACAAATTGAAGATTTAGCTTCAAATCAGCTTGTTTCTCTGTATCAGCAGCAGCAAAAACAACATATTTTCAATCACACTCATCATCATCATCATCATCAGCAGCAGCAGCGGCGAGCAGCCAGCAGCAGCAGAAACTGCTAAAACTTGGCTTCCATTGCAAATCCTGATTAAACCTCCAATTCAACTTCATTCAACTCCCAACTAAGCCAATATTAATAATTACTGATAGGCCAAAGGTTTACAGCATCCCTATTACACGAGCAGAGCTTGGCTGTGAAATAATACCACACACACAACACACACACACACACACACACACACACACACACACACACACACACACACACACACACACACACACACACACACACACACAACAATAGTTATTTAAATGAGAAGATGAAACAATATATTTGATCCAGCTGAAGTCGTAAATAATCATAAAAAGTGGATTATAATAACAGAGAGGATGGAGATCCTCCTTTTTTATATTTTCACCCTTTCAGTGTGACTTCTTTTATTTCTTATTTTGATGCGATGTCAAATGTATAATTCAGCGTTTTAATATTGATGTGGATATTAAGGTGAGGTGTTCATAGCGGCGGACCAGCCGGCGTGTTCAGATCAGAATGGAAGTCCTGACACTTTTCTGGATGAAATATCTACAAATTAATAATAATATTAACAAAAAATAAAGGGAAGGTGGATACATATTTTTAGGAAAACTCGAACGCAAAGAAGCAGCGGCGCTGAGCGGCCTGTTGCCTGATTGATTAATTATTTTGTGATTCATTAATCACTTTCAAGGGGCGAAGGACAACATCCTGCTACACCAAATTGACTCCAGTTCCCCCCACCTCTCTCTCTCTCTCTCTCTCTCTCTCTCTCTCTCTCTCTCTCTCTCTCTCCTCTCTCTCTCCTCTCTCTCTCTCTCTCTCTCTCTCTCTCTCTCTCTCTCTCTCTCTCTCTCTTCTCTCTCTCTCTCTCTCTCTCTCTCTCACACACACACACACACACATACACACACACACACACACACACACACACACACACACACACACACACACACACACACACCACACACACACACACACACACAAAGAGGAGGTGTTTTTCAAACAAACAAATGCAAACAAAGCTGATTTTTTTTCAAATTCATAAATTATAATTTAATACCAAGAACAAATTTACAGCAGAATGCTTGTTTACAATAAGCTAACACAAACAAAACAAGAATTGTGTTCAACTATAAACTTTCACGCACACTCACATATATCACTTGCAATTAATAATAATAATAATAAAATGATGATCATAAAAAAAGTATCTATACGTTATCAATACCCTGCAGTCATATATTTTTATATATTTATATAAAAACGTGGGTCAGTTTAAACTGTTCATAATTACAATCATTTATCATTCTCTGGTCCACACGTGGCCGCGAGCAGCCAAAGATCAGTGTTCAGTCCTCCTTCGATTCATCCAACAACATGGTGTTTTTGTGTGTGTTGAAGAAAAGCCCCAAAACAAGGACAAAATGCAGCTTCCAAATACACGCACACATTCACACGCACGCACGCTCACACACGCACACACACACACACACACACATCACGGAACCTGTCAAAAAGGAGCAGTAACACTAAACATCAGCTCCTTTTTCTTTCTCCATATGCCTGCTCACCCTGTTTAATTCTGCAGCCTAATAATAATAATAATAATAATAATAATAATAATAATAATAATGGACGTAGTTTAGGTTTTTTTTTCATTTTTTTTGTCTGTTTCATAAATACAAGGGCTAGCGTGTACTGAATGCACAGATTATATCTATACAGTCAAAAATAAAATAAAAGGAGAGGAAGAGAGAAAACATTTACATTTATATATCAAAGGTAAAATAGGTTAGCGACCTGTGGCCATGCATTCACAGTCTAAATATACATGAAAAAGAAAAACATTTTGTAGTAATATGTATATACATTAAAAACAGAACTTTCAGTGCTACTAGCTAAGTCTGCCACTCAATTCTGAAGACGTTGTATTACCGAGAAAAAAATGGCAACCACAGATTTTTTCTTAATCACATATACTTTGTATAAAGAAAAAAAACTTGTTGAATGAACTGACCTATATTTACAAGAATACTGCCTCTAAATCAGTGTTTTCAAGTGAAGTATGCTGAAAGTCTAATTGTGCACCCCCCACCCCCACCCCCCAAAAATAAAAAATGATAAAAAAAAAATATGCTGCAGGTCTACTCTAACAACGTTTTGATAAGATATCACATCATGCTTGTCAGGCACTTAATGCTTGAAGTGAATAAAGGGTGACATTTCAGGACGCTGTAATAATACTGCGATTAAACACTACTCTGGCTAGACTTCAAAGAAATGGATGACCCCTGACCTCTGAAAGTTTTTAGAGAATGCTCTTTATTGCAGAATGCATTAAGAGCAACATTTATTTGTATTTTTTTTTATCACACCTGCTCTAAAAAATTTTCTGCTTTTTAAATAGAATCCAATTTGAGAATGAGTGCCAGACGTTTTACAGGCGGATGGCGTGAACAGAAATCCTTTATTGGCCAAATTATTCAAATCCTGTAAAAATGATGATGTTTACAAGCACCCCAAAACAAATAAATACAAATTAAGAAACATTTCATCCATTTTCCTAAATCTTTAGCTGTAGTTTTTGTTTAAAATTTGAAAATTTATGATAAAATAATTTTTGAAATCCAATTTGAGAAGAGCATATTGATATTCCATGAATCATAAAAAGTATCAATTAATCAGGTAAAAAGAGAAAATGTTGGTTGAGCTAATCTTGTTTTAGTAAAAGGTCCAACTGAATCCTGAAAATTTGCAATGACAAAAATGAAAAACACGTTTCCGTGGGGTCATTAAGTTAAACAAAAAGTCCAGAAACATCTCGTTTCCCCCCCAGATGGTTGATAAGTGCGCTTGCAGCATTAAGCCTAGATCATAAGCCTAAATTCTCCTATTGCTGTGGTTTTAATTCTTTTTTTTTAGAACTATTGGTTTTATTTTATATTTTACATCATTTCACCATTTCAAAATAAATCCTCGCCTTACAAAAGAACACCACCTGTACTACAGAAACCACATAGGCCGGTTTGGAACCAGAAAGGAGGAACAAAGAAAGTACAAAACACAGCTATACATGGACACAGGACAAGTCATTGAGAAAAAAAAATCAGGATTTTTTCCCCTCTCTGCACTTTTTTTTTCTTTTTATACCCAAATTTTCCATTTTAAATGCACTTAATACTTAAAATTCCTTATAAGGATCAACAAAAACCACTTCTCCATTTTTTTGCAATTTTCTTCTTTCATTAAAAAATGAATCGAAGCAGGTTGCTCTGCATGAACACTGGGAGTTTTGAAAGTTCAGTGAATGTCTTAATTTTTCTTTTTCTTTCCCATAGTGTGTGTGATGGTGTGTGTGTGGGGGGATTCACAGTCTCAATGTCTTTCTTCATAAAAGCCAGCCCCGTGTAACAGCCGGTTGGTTTTTTTTTATGCCTCCCACAAAAGCAGCTATAATCATTGTAGTCTCGCAGCCCCCCCCACTCCCTCCCCACCTTTTGTTAGTTTGTCTCCTTCTTGCTTTTACTGGATTGACATGTAAGGCCAGTTAAAAACTGCTCCCCGACAGCAACATATCCCTGATGAGAGTTTCAATTGGGGTTTTACCTACCAATCGGACGAAAAATAACTGTTCAATGACCGAGGAAGAGACTGTGCGGAGGGAAGGCAAGCGGAGTAACAACTTCCCAAACCGTGTTGGCTGGTTGGGATACTGGCTCCGGACATATTCCTCCAGGGCGCACTGGGACTTCTCCTGCAAACTTTCCACATGGGCCACATCTGACAGGCCACAAGCATCTGAGAGGGGGGAGGAGGGGGAGGAGGGGGAGAGCAAATAAACATTAATAAACTGTTCCTCTCACCAGTAGCTTTTGTGTTTTCCCACTGAGGTGATGTAACAGTGAAAATTGATAGCCTAAACATTAAAAAAGCCTCATTTAAAACAACACAAATAGTGCGATTAACACACAAAAAGCAGGAAAATGTGTTATTTTATATTCTAGAATCAGCTGATTTGACTAGAATTTGATTAAAAACAACCAGAGCCCCCTCATTAATCGCACTCTCCCAGCTCCTTTTTTATTTCTCTCGTTGCAGCCATTTAAAAGTCAACTAAATAATTAACCACCTTCGTAGCTGATGTCTGTGTCTCAGGGAAAAATAGAAGAAGAGGGCCTGTCTTCCTGTGTCGGAGGAAGCAGAGCGAGGAGGACTGGAGGGGGCGGGAGAGGGAGAGACAGGGAGACCTACTGACCTTTAGTGAGCTGAGATTTAGAGGAGAGAAAAAAAAGGGAGAAGAAGAAAGGGGGGGGGGGGGCATTTATAGCCTACGGAGTTGCCGTCATGCTACACCGTCAGAAACGCAAAAAATTCTAGATGTGCGCCGCAGCAGCGATGTGGGCGGCAGCTGAGAATGTGCCAGAAACACTTGTACGCGCCTTGGTTTGAGTTTGTAAAGTTTATGCATGACAACAACTAAACCACCAAAGTAGCAAAAGGCGTGACACACACACACACACACACACACACACACACACACACACACACACACACACACACACACACACACACACACACACGCACGCACGCACGCACACACGTGTGAGGTTCAGGTATGGACCAGATAAATTAGCCGCCTAGGTGGCCCAACAACACCCTGATAATAACCTGGAATTAGATTTATTTACATGTGAAATAAATACAATTCAGAACTTGCAGGTATGTGTCCAACTATCCAGCTGGGATGTTCAGGTCATGACCTAGTTCTGGGGCAGGTACGTTTTCTATGATAATAATAATAATAATAATAATAATAATAATAATAATAATAATAATAATAATAATAATAATAATAATAATAATAATAATAATTTTATTATTATTATTATGAGCCAATGGCATTTCTTGTCACTAACTCATAACGCTGCAAGACATATTTGCAAATACAGCGCGCGCATGGCTTCTGCGTGCTTTTTTGTCTCACTTGTCTGCTCCCTTCCCTTCCCATCACCATCACCTCCACCTTTAAATGACAAGGGAGCTTGAAACCTTCGGTTTGCTCTTATAGCACCAAATGGGACATTAGGCTTGTCTTTCTCTTTCTTTTTCTTCCCTCCCTTCCTCTCTGCACCCCTCCATCCCCTCCCTCTGCCCCCCCTCCTCTCCCCCAGAGCCTGACATCATTTATATCTGTCATTTCCTACAAACAAGACGTGGGGTTTTAAGCCCAGTGATAAATGGCTTGGAATATAAAATAAATGTGAAGTACAGAAGGAAACAAAATCTTGAGCGGGATATCTGAAATGTAAGACAATTCCTATGATTTCGGCAAGTGAAGTTGACTTTTGCAATCAGAACTTGTTTATAGTTTTGCCTGCATCCTTCTGAGTGTTTAACGAGTAGAGTTTTAAAGTATTTTGATACATTTTGCACCCCAAATGAGGCATTTCATGTCAGTGCACATTAATATTTAATGGAGTTTTCAGACATTATCTGAACCTGAGTGCCAAGTCAGTTGTCTTACCTGTGGTGAAGAGCACAATGGCCTTTAAGCAGCTATATTCAGCAGAGTCAACGTGCAAAGCTTTCAGCTTTTCCACTTGTTCCTGGAAGATCCTAATGTGGTCCATAAAGGCCACCACTCTGTCCGCGGACATGGGGGACGCATGGAGGCCAGCAGCCGCCAGGAGAGGAGCCACGTGCAGGGGCATGGAACACTGCGCTGCGTTGAGGACGAATAACTCACTCCACGTCAACCTCAGCAGAGCCACCTGGTCTGTGATCTGCAGGTCCGGGAAGAAGGGAATATTCCTGGCCCACTCCACGGCGCTGAAGAGCATCCTGGCAGCAAGTTCACAAATGTTCTCGATGCCCATAATGTTGTTGGGCTGCATGCACTGGCTGCCATAGCGGGACGTCGGGTAAGGCTCCGCTCTCAACAGAAGAGAGATATATCCGGATAAGTAGGAATGGCAGTGGAGTGGGTCTCCATTTGTCAAGGCGAACTGACCGTGGTGTGGCTGTGTGGGTGGCACCCGTCCCCTTTGCACGGCTGCAGTAAAAAGAGAAACTACAGATATTGAAGCCTGAATTCTACAAATTTTGCACAACGATCAGGTTTTACACCTTTTTGCACAAGCACAGTCAGATATTTACTATAAAACAGGACAAGTTCAGTGTTTGGATCAGAACACGCCTTTGGTTGTTTTTAAAACGCGCCTTCTTAATTCTAATAATAATAAAAGGAGATTTAGCAAAACAAAACACGCTATGAAACCTAAAATAAGCTATTTTTACGCACATAGAGCGCAGGATTTGCACTTAAATTGACGTTATTCTGAAACATTAGCCGGGTAGTGGAGAAACACAAAGAGGGCAAAACAGACCTTGCATGTTTAACCCTTAATCTACTTTCATCTGCTTTTTGCTAAAAACACCATGCACGGTTGGGTTCGACACAGTAATCTAATGACTTCCTGTTCTTAAAATAACGGATTTTGCGCACAGCTTTATAAGCACAAAGCATGCTAATACCCAGCTTTAGATGTAGCCAGTCTCACGCAATCCCTTTAATTCGCCATAATAGCGCAGGAGACGACAATATGCGCGAATCGGATGCGTTTCTGTGCGTGGATCTTACATTTGATCTCGGTAATGGTTTGAGGTTTTTATACGGAGATATGTGTTTGGATACAATAGACCCGTCTCGACCACTACACACACATACACACACAGACAACGCACACACACACGGCGGCTCCATTGCATGTCCCTGCCGCACACCCTTGAAGGAGAGCAGGCTACACGGGGGCGACACGATCGTGTCTGGAAGCCCGATAAAACGCACAAACACACACATTTAAATCAGAAAAACAAAAAGTCCCAATACCTTCCCGTCTCATGCCGACCTTAAGGCATTTTTTGAGGCGGCAGTACTGACACTGATTGCGGTGGTGCTGGTCGATTGGACAATTCCTGTTGGCACGGCATGTGTAAGTGAGGTTCCGTCGTACGCTCCGCTTGAAGAAGCTTTTGCACCCCTCGCAGGTGAACTGGCCATAGTGTTTGCCGCTGGATTTGTCCCCGCACACCACGCACTCGATGTGCTGCGGTTGTTTCTCCGACTGCTGCGTCGTCTGGTTCGTCGGCGTGGACTGCGTGTTGTTCGGGGGTCCCTGGACCGGGGTCTGAGGGGTCGGAGGGGCGATCTGAGAGGCTGTCAGGTTCAACTGGCCTGGTTGAGGGGTGGGAAGGGATAGTCCTCCTTGTGTTTGCGAGGAAAGGGCGCCTTGGGTGTCAGCCACATCGTCCTGGGAGCCTCTCCACGCTACCATTGCCATATCTATCAGTCAACGGAAAGAAACTTTTTGTCTGCCGTTTTGGTGTCGCGGTGGAGGATGTCTTAAGGAAACGCGGCAAACTGGGACTAACAGGCGGACACGGAGAATGTCAAACGCAGCCGACGATGAATCCACCCGGAATCTCCCCGAAAACTCTCGGGTTATTGCTGTTGGAGACGCTGGGAGGCACACGTTTTCAGAAGTGATGCGACGGCGAGCTGAGCGGCTGCCTTGCGCTTAAAGGCCAAGTCCAGGGGCGCTTACAGCCAGCCATCCAGCATGCCCATCAATGGGGAAAGGTAGGATGGAGGTTTCAGAAAACTCGACCGAGGCAGCATGGACCGATCAGGGACGGATGGAGCCGGCTGAGGAGACCACTCCCGCAGCAGCAGCAGCATGAAACAATTGGTGAGCAGCTACTATCAAGTTCCAGCACAAGTCTTGGAGAAAACTGGTTGGGGAGAAGAAGCAAAAAAAAAAAAAAAAAAAAAAAAAAAAAAAAGAGGAAGAAAAAATGCCTCTTCTTCCCTTTTCTCCTAGTGAGGTTGCGCCAGCCAAGCGCGCAGATGAAGCCAATGTTTCTGGAGAGATTTTGAATATGAAGACAAGTCTCCCCCTCCAGGAAAACAGCGACAAACAAAACAAAATAAAATGCAAAGATCACAACCCAGCAACCTCCTCTGTGCGCCGAAAAATAATCGGAAAGAGGAGAAAAGAATCAAAGTGATCAAATATGTTAAAAAGGCGGAGGTTAGGAAGTGATTTGCGATTGGTAGGAGCCGGGCTGGCAGAATGCTTTCTCTCTGATCAGCTCACTGAGCTCTCTATATAGTGAACTTTGACACGACTGCTGCAACTTAGCACACGTTACCATGGAGATGAGCTGCCATATAAGGAAGGAGAGTGTGTTTGACTGGTCAGAGCTCAGGGACCTCCCCCTGAACCCTATTGGCTAGTCGGCACTTGTGCTACTTGGTACCTTGCCAGAGCCAGCACGGAGGTCGAGAGGGCCGCTTGGTCCTAAAAAGAGACGTTTTCAAACCGGGGGAGGGGGAATCACTAAAAGAAGTCTCCCAGACTGAGATGCAACTCACATTTTTACGAAAAGAAATTATATTTCCTCATATCGCGCCATGATGTATCCGGTTTGCAAATCTAGGAAGGGTGCGCACAAGATGGGCGATTATTGTCATACTGAATGCAAAATCAAACCGAACCAACACATGCACTCACACACAAACACACGATAAAGCCATACTATATGAGGTTGCTAATGTTATTTTAATATGAGTCTATAGCAACAAACTCGTGATCTGATCTGCATTTATTATTATTTTATTTCATTTAAGCTCTAATATGTTGCAAGCGCAGACTTAATCCAGCAGGTCAAAAGGTCACTTCTACTTCTGCCATTTGCATGGTTAAAAACCTGTACAGCGATTAACTTATTGAGACAGTTGATCAAAAACAGGTTCACTTCAGATTTAAAGCTTAAAAACAATAAAATCAAAGTAAAAAAATGGAAATACACAATTTCTAAGGATTATTATTGAGATATTATTGATGCTAAGGCCAAATTTAAAATGTGTGGTAATTTTCAGACTTTTAAACACGATAAACGCACTTTCGCTTGACTATGTAGCTGCAGGATATCTAAGCTGAGCTGCAGGTGAAACTTCAGAGCCTAACCTGCAGCCAGGTCAGTGTGTGAGCCGACAGAGATCATCAGCATCAGCAGCAGCAGTATTGTCTCCGGATGTATTACAGTATATGGCTGCCCCCTAGCGTAGGAATGTTTCCCTTCAAATAAAGATTGAATTTAGAGGAGTCATCTGAGACAGAACCAGCTTCAGTCTCGTCTCTCGCATCGACCAAACAAACGAGCGCCACTTTAAACTGACGCATCTCTTTAATTCTCGGACGCGATAAAAGCGCTGAAATCTGCACAATCTGGATTTATTCTTTCATTTAAATATATATATATTAACACTTTCATTCGGTGTAATCGGTGGTATATTTAGATCAGATCTCATACTAATCTGAGTTTAATTGTTTTTCCCCCTCATATAAACGTGTCGCTTTTCTTCACAGACTCCGAAAAGGTGGAAATTCTACCGACCGCGGACTTTACGCGGATCCTGGTCTGCTTTAAAATGTGAGTATTTCTATTCTGTGTCACCATTTTATCATTTAATTAAACCATATGTGTATTTTAGACACTTAAAATCAGTTTCTGCTAAGAAAAAATGCGTTTTTATTCTAATAAAATAACATTCAGTACCATACCGTGCGCAAATTACGCACGGAGCACATGAACAATCACCATTCCGCGCTGATTTTATCCGGTTGTTAATTTTGTACGCTGATCACAACAAGCCCGAGTCGTTTCATTCATAAAGTTATTTGATAGTGAAAGAGAGGCAGGAGGCTGTATTCTCACACACCTACCAAATGCATACGCTGCTGACTGGTCCGACGCGGGGTGCATCTTCTCTCCCTCTCTCTCTCTTATTCAGAATCAAATTTAGTCTTCAGTTTTTCAGACTGAAAGTTGCAAAAGCTTCCACTCCTGCACGAGAAGCGCGCTGTTTATTTGTAAAACTGCGGTGTCTGATACGCAAACTTTTGGAGCGCCAAAAGCGGAAACCTGTTCATGTGTTGTTGAGCGAGAAACTGGAAAAGGAGGACGTCAAAAGTTGACGTGTCGGTCCCGAGCGTGCAGGATCGGAGGCTGCAGCATTCGGCTCTGCCTTCTGGAAGCGACAAGCAGCGGAGCTCCCTGTGCGCCTCTCCCCCCTCTCCTACAGTAAAATGTGGCCAAAGCGCGCCATACGCCGCTGCTTTGCTTTCGTGTGGGCTATTGAGGAGAAAGAGAGGGAGGGAGGGAAAGAGGGAGGTAGAGAGGAGGCGGGGGGTGCAGCAGAACAGACACCTGTCTAAGTGGGGCGAGGAGGCAACAATGTGCTTTAAAAAAAGGAAAGAAATTTGGAGCGATGGCTTACAATTATCATTATCATTATTATTATTATTATTATTATTATTATTATTATTATTATTATTATTATTATTATTATTATTAATGCTGCAAAATTTATTTACATTTTTACAATAATCTTTGGACAATTTTATAGTGAACATCGTGAAGAAAAACAATAATTCAACACAATATTTTCCACACAAACTCATTGAATCATCATCCATCTGCTGCAGTTGTTTTTATTCCCTTTCCTCAAAGTTTCCTCCCCTATGTTCTGCCTTCAAGCAGGAAAAAAAGTATTACACGTTCAACAAGCCAGCGCGCGCACAACAATAGCGCTGCCCAACGGGACCAGTATCGATTAGGCTGAGACTGAGGATGCCGCCTGCACTAAATATTTACTGATCACACGCAAATAGCTGGGTCCCTAACGATTTTTGTTTCCACGCTCCGGCAGGGAAAAAGGACTAAATCACTTTATTATTGTTGGGAAAACAAAAACGCACACCGTCTAAAGGACGTGGGAAGGGAGGTGTGTGCTGATTGGGACGATTGTAGGAAAATGAATCGATACTGAGACAGATAATAGTTGAGATTTGCGCGCGTGGAAAAAAATGAAAGCTTCAAATCATCATGGTTAAATCTCTTTTGTGATCACAGGATTAAAGCTGTGGATTTGTCTAATTTACATAATAAATACGTTTATTTTTCACGATTTAGCTCAAAAATCAGTGAAATAACTTATATATAAATAAAAATAAATGTAATGCCAATGCTAAAAGAAAGAAAATCGGTGGGGAAAGTTGATTTTAATCTTATCCTTCATCAAGTCCTCCATGCAGATAGAGGGGTACTGACCCGGGGGTGTCGAAGTTACCGGTCCGATTAACCCTTCCAGACCCGCGCAGGAGCATAGGTTAACCAGGCTAATCAACTTCAAGAGTCTGAGTGAATTATCTGATATGGAATCAGGACCCTTTTGCTTCAAAACAACCTAAAACAGAAGCGTTGGACACCTCAGATAAAAGCCTTCACCAGTTTTACAGTTCTGTTATAATATTGTGTTCATCAGGTAAAAAATAAGCACTTTATCCTGAATGTTTTTGAAAACAAAAATGATGATTTGGATTCTTACAAAGCTGAAATGGACCGTTTCTTGTCTTATTTATGTCATATTTATATGCTTAAACCACTTAAAATATGCTATTATAAAAAAAGTCTTAATAAGTAAATAAACCAGGGGTAATTTGCTGGTTTTAACTTCCAGGCTGTAAAGAAACACACAGGGTTAAATAATGAAATGTGAGATCTCCACATTTTAAACGTTTCATTCAGCAGCATAGTTCACTTTCTGTCTGTCGCCCCAAGGGAAGCGCCGCTATCTGAAACTGCAACAGACACATAACTGATTTCCATTTGCCCATGACCAATTACAGTGCCAATTTAAATAGATAGGGATCAATTTGTCTCAATGATCACTCCCAGGGCTGACTGCCAGCATCCTCCTAATGTATCTGCAGACACCTATTGTTTGAGTTATAGCTGGTGGGTTTTTCAAGTGATCCAAAAGGCAGAGGGAAAAGATGAGTGGTGTAAATGATGTGTTGTTTTGGCAGCTAAAGATGGGGTGGATCGCGGAGACATGACGGTTACTTCAGGCTGCGGCGATGGTCAGAGGGTCAATGGTTTAACTCTGAAGGACTCTGGGAAAAGTCTGGATGAGGTGGATTGTGTGATAAGTACCCCCCACCACACACACACACACACACACACACACACACACACACACACACACACACACACACACACACACACACACACACACGCACACACACACACACACACACGCACATACCACCCAACTGAAAGTACTTCTGAAGTATCACTGGGCAAACAGCAGCTCAGACCCCCATGTCTCCCAGCGGAGCACTGCAGTGGCCATCAGAGCGGCGCTGCAGTTGGACAAGACTGTCCTTTCTTCTTTTTAGCAAAAATAAGGGGGGGGGGGGGGGGGCACTCACCTCACACTCTCTTTATGTGGAAGGTGTGAAAGAGTTTGTGAGGAGGACACAAGAGGAGAAAGTCGCGACAGTTCGAAGCCAGACACGGCTCACATGTGGCCCCCCGGGCTGCAGACAGCAGATTGGGTTACTGTAACTCAAGGTGTAAAGTGGTAGCAGTCAGGCATGCATAAGAAAATACACAAACATACACAAAAGCTCATTTCAGCTTCAGATTACCTTTAGATCTATTACCACATGTTTCCAACCTCACCTTTTAGTGTTATGTTGTATAAATGTTTGTAAAAGTCCTTCTTTTCTCCACAGAGGTGGGAGTGTTACCATGATGTGCAAACGGCCATGTAAGTATATTCAACATCACTCTGTATGAATATCTCATTTAGTACTAATAAAGAGTTTGGATCCAACTGTGTGTGTGTTTTTTTTTTATTTACTCCATCTGCTTCACGGTTTAATGCTAACATTTGATTGTTTTTCCTCTTTAGAAAAGAAGTTAAGGTTTACTTGTGACCTTCACTGGAGCTTCGTGGCTCCATCTCTCAAAAAGGGTTTTAAGCATCTAAAATAAAATGATTATGACCATTGAGAATATTCTTGACATTTTTGACTTAATCTTTTCTTCTAGACATTTATAATAAAACTTAATGTCCACTGAGGCGAAGCTGGTTTAATTAATGATACTAATTGATACTATTATTCTGACTGAATAGTGTTTTTAATCTGATCTCATCGACGGCTTTTGTTGACTGATGAAAGGAATAAAAGCAAAAAAAGGAGAATACGTGGAATTAGACATTTTTACAACATCGCCTCCAGGTTGTTATTCTCAG